GGCTCTAGCACGCCGGGGACCGCGGACCCCGCCGCCAGACCCGCGGTCCACGCCGTCCGGTTTCCAGCCCAACATCCCGGCCCGGGTCCTTCGGAGCCGCACCCCTCAGCCCGACCCGAGACACCCAGGCACGGGCCCATCGGCAACACCTCACTCACCTTTCACGGCCTGTTGCGCGTCGCTGCGCGCTGTCAGGACCACGGCATGGAAGGGCGGGACGGCGTGTGCACGTCCAAGGCGTGCTCCCGCTCTGGGCCCCGCCCCCGAGGAGGGCCCCGCCCCTGGGTAGGGCCCCGCCCCCCGGCCCTGGGGCTCCGAACCGTAGCACACACAGCCCCGCCCCTGCCTACGCCTACTGGACTTCCTCTGCCTGGTGCACTACCACAGGCCTGAAAGGTGACATCCGTGAACCTAAAAGTCAGAGGATGTAAACGTCCATTTTTATGGTTGATACTTCCGAATCTGTACTTAGGGGGAATCTGTAAATTTGGACATTTCCCTTTACTAACACACGCATATAAACTTTCTGTGCTTGCTTGATCCAGAAAAGATCGATATTGTTTTTCATTACTAATGGCTTTAATATTTATACAATTATTACTACCCTAACAATTTTGGTACCAAATATATTAGTTAAACGTCCTATATTTCATTCCAATCTTTTAAAAAGATATTAATTATTTTTTTCATACAATGTTTTTTGATCCCATTCATTCCCTTCTCCCAACTCCTGCTAGATTCTCCCCACCTCCCTACCCACCTAATTCATGTTCTTTCTCTTTTTGATAAAGATAGATGATAGATAGATAAAAACAAAAAGCACACACAAAAACACAAAAAGCATAGATTTTTTTTTCTTTTTCTTTTTTCTTTTTTTTTTTTTTTTTGCTAGCCAGCTATTCCTAGAGCATGGCAAATGTATCCTTTGGAGAAAACTGACTTTCCCTCTCCCAGCACGTATTAATTGCAAGTAGCTTCTTAGTCAGGAGTGGGACTTTGCACGTATACAGGTCTTCTATAAACTGTCAGTCTCCGTGAGTTCGTATGAACATTAACCCTGTAGTATCTGAAAGATGCTGTTTCCTTGGAATCATCCACCTCTGACTCTTAAAACTTCTGCCTCCTCCTTTTCATGGATCATTGAGCCTTAGAGGAAGGTTTCATAAGAACACATTAAGGGCTGAAGTGTTTTTTTGATTTTTTTCTCACTGCCCAACTTTTTAATATAAGGAAACTGAGAAAGAGTGAGTTCAAGTAATTAGCTTTAAAGAATACAATTGTTGTCTAACAGAACTGGAACATGAATCAAAGGTCCACTGGTTGTCTTTTGTTGAAGCAAGGAGAGCTTTACCAAAATGTTAATGATTGACTATCTTATAAGCAACAGAAAGCTACTTGTTTTGAAGTCAGGGAGTTCAGATATCAACACATTCTGCATTTCAGTGGGTCTGGAATGGGTTCCCCTACCCAAATTTGATAAATGACTCCTTTGGTGAGCATCCTCACAGGCTGGAAAGGCAAGACAGCTCTTTGGAATACACACACACACACACATAAACATATGTATATACATACACATATATAAATATATACACACTGAAATATATGTGTATATGCATATATGTGCATGAATACATATACACTTATATGTAATTTGAGTATATATATATATATATATATATATATATATATATGCATGAGTCAACTCCATTTGTGGGAGTTCCACCCTCAAGATCTGACCTCATCCCAAAGGCAGTGCTACTGGCATTGGTGACTTGATTTCATTGTCTACATCTGGGGTTGACACAGATATTCAGACCACAGAACTGCCTGTCCTTACTTTCTTTAGGTTTCAGTTTCTTTAGCTATGGCAGTGCTTCATTTTCTCCTCCCTAAGAAATCTGCTGTGAGACCCCAGTGACACAGAGTAAGCCTCAAAACTTCAAGGTGCTAGGCACCTGAGAAGAATTTGACAAATCCCAAATACCATCTCAAAAATATCTCCGGGGGATGAATGAAATACAACTGGCTCTATGAGGAAACTCATCAAGCAAGACAAATTAATGTAGTCACAGCACCTTATGATAATCCTTGGGTTTAGTAACTTCAGAAAAGCCAAATTTGCTTAAGAATGGCCCAGTCCAAGGTCTTCAAAGATTCTACATATGGATAAATCTCCTGAAATTAAAACTATTTAATTTGATAAATATATACCATCACTGACTAGAAAAATTTACATATTTATGTAATTGTGTAAAACTACAGGGAATAGGAAATGTGTTTAGTTCATTTTGAGAAAACCAATATTAAGTATTTATTACTTGTGCTTCTAGGACTGAGTTAGCCTTCCTATTTTCTTTATTGCTTATAGTATAGCTTCTTTTGCAGTCTGATTTAGACCATATAGTACTTTCTTATTAAATGCTGCAGGCTTCCCTTCCCCATAAGCTGTAAACAGTAGATGAAAATATGACTGTTCTCCTTACTTGAAATGTTTTGTTACTTATCATTTTATCGATAAGCCTTGAGATAGACTTATTCCTAATTCTTATATAAAATGAGATGCACTCCCTCATAGATACTTTAGGGTCATCTTGGGGGCACTTGTAAAGAAGTAAATAAGGTTGTATAGAAGATGCTTTCTAGCATTTTACAGAAGGACAGAGCCCAGCATCAGGATGGTAGATTCATTTTTCTGGTTTTTTTGCTTTAAAATTATCATGAATGGGAACTGGAGAGATGGCTCACTGGGTGAGAACACTTATTGCTCTTGCAGGGGACGAAAGTCCAGTTTCCAGCACCCATGATGGTTCATACCACTTCTGTCTCCAGTTCCTGGGTGTCTAATGTGTTCTTCTGGCTTCCAAGGGCTCCTGCATGCAGTTGGTGTGCATACCTATACTCAGGCACACACAAACACATAAAATAAAGAATAAGTCTTTTAAAAATTGAAAACTTAAATGCGCCCAACTGCTCAAAGTGATCGTACTCAGGAACTGACAGTTTATAAATGTCATTGCTTGAGCTTCCAACAAGATGAAGAACAAACCTCTGAATATAAATTGCTTCTGAATTTAGAAAAAGAACTCTAAGACAGAAAATTATACAATGCTATTTATTCTTTAAAAGTTGCATAAATTCTAGTGAATAATTGAAGAGTATACCAAATGAGGCTTTTTATTTGAAAATTTAGTTAAAGCTATACACTGGAGACACTTAGCATTTTCCAGGCCCCATTTTTAAAGGCTTGTCATGAAGATTACTAATAAACACAAAACCCTCTGGGGAAGAACTGCATGTGAGGGAAAAGACAACAAGAGACTAAGTTATTGGCAAAGCCCACCACTGACTCACAGGAAGAATGACGGATTTAACCTTAGGAGTCCAATTTTTTAAATATTCAGTCAGCTTCCCTAGAGTTGATAAGCAAAAATCGCCCATCACCATGGCATGCCAGGAATAAAGTACTCTACCCCTGAGATGTACCCCACGGCAGGGTTTCCTGATCTTGGTCCCTTGGCACTCAGGTTAGTTTAGTAAGTTTTTGTGTGGGATGCTGTGCTATGCTTTGTGCAGACTGATCAGAATCCTTGGCATCTAGCGTTAGATGCAAAGTTGTGAAAACCTAATAATTCCTAGACATTACAGAATTTCTTCTGACAGTAGCCCACCCCAACTTTTAGATTGATACTATAATAAAGTTACCTTCTCCAGAAGTCCCCGATAGTGCCCTGGAAAGTTAAATACAAGAATCCAACGAGGTCTTATGATGATTATACACATTCAAGCTACACAAAGGGAAAATTGGAAATTTAACGGAGTTTTGAGATGTAGATAATTTGGGGGAATCGCAGGTTATGAGCCAGAAAGAAAATTAAAATAGCATGTTTTATCCATCCATAAACCAAGTAATGATCACTCCAAAGCCTACACAGAGACTTGGTGTATCTTCAGGAGGTTTGCTGGCTGGGTGCAGAACTATGAGGTCTACTTCTTCTACTCTCATTGGAGCAGTTCTTGCAGAAGATCCCAGCACTTATGGAAGTATGTGTAATTCCTAAGACATGGCTCTGGAGCTTTGGGGTGGAATGTGAATTGCAATCAGTATTAATAACTGCCTCTTTCCTTGAAGATTCCAAAGATGGAAGCTGGTCTTGTCCCAAACAGCAGTAAATAAAGCCAAATGGGCAGGCTGCTCTGACACCATTATGGAATGCTTAGGCATGATCTGGGCTGTTTGTGGAAGTGACTGGCTCAGACCACCAGACCACCCAGAAGCTGGCACAGCAGGTAAAGAAAGTCAGTCCTTAGGAGATATGCTGACACAAATGAGGAAGAAAACATGACAGTCACACAAGATCAGACCAAGACCTAAAATTAATTCCAGTGAACCCTAATGTGGAAATCTCCCAAAGAATCGTCACCTGCATTAACACTCTAACACAGACTACCAGGACCAGGTATATAATTTGTGGGACCCCCTAAACCAACTGAAAATGCAAGTAGTTTTACAAAACTGCCACTAAAAGTATTAAGATATAAAAGTACTCTTTTCTTTTGCACTATCTCTATTGCTACCATGGTGAATGCTTGTTTGCTTTTACTGTTAAACGTTGTACTGGCTTGAAGGGTAAGTGCATAAGTTCCCTTGTCCTTTAGGTCCTTCATTGCCTTTCTAGAGTATAGACGTGTGTGAGTCTCTGTGACCACCTAGGCCAGCTGAGTGTCGATCCCTATGAGGCAAGAAGGAAGTCTAATTGAACTCTACTAGTTATACAGTGTTGATGCCAGCTGCTAGAATCTAACACCGGGCAGTTTATTTTAGGCATATTTAATGTACAGCACAATTTGGAAAAAGATTCCTGGTGATGATTAACTTAATCCCATGTACACAATAGAGTTTGACTACATAAGGCATGACTACAACGAAACTCTTTTTAAAGTACTGTGACCTTAACTGGACAGTGATGGCACACACCTTTAATCCCAGCACTCAGGAGGCAGAGACAGGCAAATATCTGTGAGTTCGAGGCCAGCCTGGTATACAAGTGCTAGTTCCAGCACAGGCTCCAAAGCTACAGAGAAACCCTGTCTCAAAATACAAAAACAAAAAAACATACATGTGACCTCTTTCATAAAGATGGGTTCTACAGATTGACTACATGTAACAACTAAAGGGTTTGGGGGAGGATGTGGTGTGGTCTTTTTCATACAGAAGTCGCCAGGCTAGTTACCTCTGCTCCCATTGATAAAGTCCAT